CCCCCCCCCCCCCCCCCCCCCCCCCCCCCCCCCCCCCCCCCCCCCCCCCCCCCCCCCCCCTGCTGCTGCTGCTGCTGCTGCTGCTGCTGCTGCTGCTGCTGCTGGGTGGCCTCCGTGCTGCTGGGCTCCCCGCAGTAGTCCTGCAGCGACAGCAGCACGGCCTGCCGCAGCTCTTCGTCCATGTCTTCGAGGCCTTCGATTTGTGCTGCTCCGGGGGGCAGTTCGGCGCCTCCTGCGTTGCAGCAGCAGCAGCAGCAGCAGCAGCAGCCGCAGCAGCAGCAGCAGAACTCTTCACTTGGCCGATTTAAACTGCTTCGACGCGTCCCAGAAGCAGCAAAACTAGTTAGTTAATTAACTTTAAATGTTCGCAACTAATGCACAAAAAACCCGACACTTTACTCGACAAACGAGAAGCTCTAGCTCCCTCTGCTGCTGCTGCTGCTGCTGCTGCTGCTGCTGCAGCCAGGCTCCAGCGCAACTAAACTGCAGCGGCAGCAACAGCACCTGACGCTGCTGCTGCTGCTTTTGCTGCTGCTGCTGCTGCCGTACCTGCGGCGGGTGCGGGCTGTCCCGCTGGCGCGGCGGTTGCTGCTGCTGCTGCTGCTGCTGCTGCTCCCTGCTGCTGCTGCTGCTGCTGCTGCTGCCGCGCCTCCTCCAAAGACATGCGCAGCACCATGTAAAGGTCGGGGTCGACGTTGGGGTCGACTCCGAACTCGTTCACAGCGCCGTCGCCTGCTGCTGCTGCTGCTGCTGCTGCTGCTTCCGGGTCGTGCAGCAGCATTGCCGAGACCATCACGTCGCTCAGCAAGCTGCTGCTGCCCGCCGGGTACTCCACGAACCGGCTGCGCACACAACAGCCGCAACACGCCCTGCTGCTGCTGCTGCTGCTGCTGCTGCTGCTGCTGCAGCTGCAGCAGGAGTGGTTGCAAGGTGCTTGCTGCTGCAGCAGCAGCAGCAGCGAGAACACTTCCGAGGGACAAATGCGAAAGAGACCCGCAGCACGTAAAAGAACAAAGAGGAAAGAACATCAAGAAGGCTGCAGAAGCTGCTGCTACTAGTGCAGCAGCTGTGGCTCCCGCCTGACCTCGTGTCGTTGCTGTTGACTGCTGCATGCATCGCCGTCAACTTGGCTCTGTTCTCCTCCACATTCGCGAGACACACAATATCTAAGCAGCAGCAGCAGCAGCAGCAGCAGCAGCAGCAGCAGCAGCACAGCAGCAGCAGCAGCACAGCAGCAGCAGCGAAAGATGAGTTCCGCGGCGGCACCGCAGCAGCAGCAAGAGTGGCCTGCAGCACGTGCGGCTGCATGCAAAAAGAAGTCCACTAAAACATTCAAAATAAAAATTAAATTTGTAAACATAAAAAAGTCCAATGAAGACAAGATTAAAATGCCATTTCGTTTTAAATGAAAAATAAAAAAGTTCTAAATATAAATAAGTTCTAAATATAAATAAGTTCTAAATATAAATAAGTTCTAAAATAAAAAAGTTCTAAAAATAAAAAAGTTCTAAAAATAAAAAAGTTCTAAAATAAAAAAGTTTTAAATTTGTTTTAATTAATTTAAATCTTTTTAAAAATCCAAACTCACCTAAAGCTATGTTGTTCTTCTTCAGCTGACGCCCCAGCTGCACCAGCTGCTTCTCACTTGCCACCTGCGCAGCAGCAGCAGCAGCAGCAGCAGCAGCAGCAGCAGCAGCAGCGCAGCAGCAGCAGCAGCAGCGCAGCAGCAGCAGCAGCAGCGCAGCAGCAGCAGCAAGAAATGTTTTAAGCAAATGCGAGCGCAGGCAAAAGCCCACTGGCCTGTCTTTGCAATGCATGCAAAGAAACGAAAAGTTTCGAAAGAAAATAAAAACATTTAACATTTAAAATGAAATAAATTAATTATTTAAAAGCATTTAACATTTAAAATGAAATAAATTAATTGAAAACATTCAACATTTAAAATTAAATAAATAAACAAATTAAAAGCATTTGACATTTAAAATGAAATAAATAAACAAATTAAAAGCATTTAACATTTAAAATAAAATAAATAAATAAATAAAAAACATTTAGCATTTAAAATGAAATAAATGAATTAAAAAGAATTAAAATGAAACTTCATTTTAAAGACAAACTCAAAGCCAAGAAATAAATATTTCGAAAGTGCAAAAAGAACTTCTGCTCGGCTTTCCGTGCAGAAAAGTGGAAATGGAAAATAAAAATAAATTAAAATGCAAAAAAGACTTTGCGAATTAAAAGACAAACAAACAAATAATTAAATGCAAAAGAGTTTGCAAATTAAAACGCAAATAAAGGAGTTAAAATGCAAAAGAATTTGCAAATTAAAATGCAAATAAAAAAGTCAAAATGCAAAAAAATTTGCAAATTAAAATCCAAAAAAGGAGTCAATATGCAAAAGAATTTGCGAATTAAGACGCAAATAAAGGAGTTAAAATGCAAAAGAATTTAAGAATTAAAATGCAAATAAAAAGTTTAAAAGAATTTGCAAATTCAAAAAAAAATTAAAGTTTTAATGCTGACCACTGGACTCCCCACGAAGAGCAGAATCCGCTGCCGCTGCGTCTTGTTGATTCTGTGTTTGAGCGCGAGCTGAAAAAAGAAAAAAAGAAATAAAAAAGAAATAAAAGAAATAAAAGAAATAAAAAGAAATGAAAAAGAAATGAAAAAGAAATGAAAACAAAAACCGGAAAGCAGAACGCGCGCAGGCCCAGGTGTACAGACACCTCGGCGCCAAGCGCGCAACGCGATCCTCAACACCCCAGCCGGCATTTAACCGGCATTTGACATTATTTTTAAAGTTGAAAATTTGCAATTTAAAATAAAATGAAATGAAAGTCGAAATGGAGAGAACTGCGGCGGCGGAAAGCCGCGAAGCTGGGGTGTACGTACAGCTCCCCAGAGCGTTCTGGGAGTAGAATTTGCGAATTAGAAGAATTAAAAGCACAAAAAGAACCAAAAGAAGCGAATTAAAAGAATAAAAAGAATTAATTTGAATTTAAATGATTTATTTTGGACTTTTTCTTTCTTTTAATTCCTCTTTTCCTCACTTGCGCCACCAAAATGCCCCGCACGAAGTCCGCGTCGCCCTTCGCCGCGATTTGGTGGAAGGCCGAATGAATTCGCCCGAACTCCGAAGTCGGCGCCACCGCCACGCGGGCCCTGCAAACCACCAGCAGCAGCAGCAGCAGCAGCAGCAGCAGCAGCAGCAGCAGCAGCACATGTGTCAGCAGCAGCAGCAGCAGCAGCAGCAGCAGCGCCTCTGGCTTGTATGAGCGCCCCGCACGCCGCAGCCAGCTTCCTCCGCCCCCCCCGCAGCTCCCACCTCCGCCCCAGCCCCCCCAGCAGCAGCAGCAG